CGCTCCTCTTCCTGAGGCAACTTCCCCGGCGTCGGCAGGGCCCTCGGGGCTGTTACTGTGCCATCTGCTGCCTGGCTCGGGCTGCGTTTGAGAAGATCCACTCAAAATCTTCCCGGGGGTTTTCGTCCTCCCCTTCCCCCAAATTGTGGATGTTCTCCTGGGAAGTGAGGCTTCCAATAGCGTGCTTCTCCTGCAGGCCTCCTGCCAAACTCTGTGGCTTTATAGTAGCGTTTGTATGCTCTTAAAAATATTTCTCTCCCGCTCTTGGTGCATGCGAGATTAAATTACAATCCTGCAATTAGCATGATAGGATGTTTCTCGTGGTAAAGTGCCGGTTAGTTTGAACTAAAGTCCCTAAGGGCACCTGTGTCTACTTGAAAGCTGCGGAGGGAGGGAAGGAAGGAGTTACGCTGAGATGTAACCTGTCGAATGCAAGAACCAAGCCAGCCAGAAGGGTATTCGTCCCCTTCGTCACTCTTCCCACCCCTCTTGAGTTGCCCTTTTGAGTGGGATGTACTTGGGTGGGTTTCTCAAACTGATCTTTTCTCCAAACTTCCAAGAGCATAGTCACAACACTGCTGGAAAACATAGTTCTTGTTTCAGTGATGTTTCTGTGATCCCTTAATCTCAGCAGAGACAGCTTGTGACCTTCATCCTTAGAGTTGTAGGCTTCCCCTTTAGCACGGCTTTATAAGTTAGTCATAATTTGGACGCAACTTGCTTGCTTTGGTAAGTTAGTGCCTTGTCAAAAACAAGTTGTCTTGCTGTAAGCTCTTGCCTTCTGATGCACTTTGCCTGCTTCCTGACGCCCTTCAGTAGCAGCGTTTGGAGTGTTTTAGGTTCCTTGAAGTTCCAGCCAGTCCACTTCTATGAAGTATTCGTTGTTGTGCAAGCTTAGAAAAGATATTGTGGATCTTATAAAAGTTTTCTAAATGAATAGCTGACTTTGTGCTGATAATCTAGTGACAGGGAGATGAGGAAGACTGGTTCTGTTTAGGTATGCTGAATACCTACTTACTAGAGGAATTTGATGAAGAGATAGAAAACAAGATTTGACTTTCTTGTAACTGTTTACAATCTGGTGGGTTTATGAACGTTGAATCATTTGTTGAAAGCATGTGGGTGATTTGTGTGTGTGTGTACTTAAATTGTTTAAAAGCACCAAATGACTTCTATGCTTTGTTATTGCATAGATGCCCCTGGAAATAACACCACTGGGTTAAATCGTGTGCCTAAACCTAAAAAGGAGAAATGTATGTAAATAGATTTAGATTTTTAGGCTGCAGTTGGAAGAGACCCGGGTGATCATTGCATTACCTATTACTTGTGCTCTGTGACTGAATTACTCTTGACCAAACCATTGCCAATGCATTCCAGATTGGACTGCAAATTTGTTTTGTGTACTGAATTTTAAAACTATTTGGAGTTAGAATGGCTCTGGATGAGTGCTTAGGGAACAGAGTGACACAGGTCTTGAACCAATACTTATCATACAGCAACCCATCTGCCACGTGGACCAGGCTACTGTTTTCTAAATTGGTTTAGAGAGGTTGGTAGGGAGTTCTTGAAGACTCTATCCTGTATCTGTAGATGTGGTGATTTTTTAAAATAGCCTTTCTGAGTTATTTATCTGCTAACATTCCGTTCTCTAGTGGGCATATTAACATGTGAAAGCAGAAGAATGCTGCTTTTGCAATACTTTCATCTCACCTGTCACTCCTGGTGTTTACACAAAAAGGAGCTTGCCCTGTCAGAAGCTGCATTTTTCACATACCTGCCCTGCAGCCATTTCTGATTAAACAGCCTGCTTTGTGGGGCTTCTTAAGTCCCAAGGCAGCAAAACCTTTTTCTAGTATGTCTTCCTTGGGCCTAATCATTTCCTGTTGGATCACCAAAAAATATGAAGGAAGGGGAAGGCAGCTAATGAAAGTAGAGCAGAATAAAAGTGCACAGAGATCTGCTTATTTATGCATCTTTTCAGGAAATACACTTGGAAAACAGAAATATATAATAATGTTTTATGTATTCTTTTGACGGGCTGTAGGCAAATGAGCGAAACAACTCTGTGTGAAGCTCTGTGCTTGGGCATAGTACAGTGTACCTCAACAGCGGGAGTCCTGACAGACCCCACAGCTCTGTTTTGGACTCTCATGATGAAGAGAAAGGTTGTTTTGCAATCACAAAAAGGCTGCAATGTCACAATGAGTAGCCTAGGTTCTTGCATGCAGAGGAAAAGACTATAGAGCCCAAGGCCAAGAATGGGTGCCTATGATTTTGAAAATGCAACCCCTCTTCTCATAATACACATAATTAAAGACCAAAGGAAACTCTCAGAAGTTTTAAAACTACTCTCAGTAGTTCTAAAGGATAAATAAACTTTACAATTGATCTGAATCCCTCAAATCCTCCAAAAAAAATAGATGAGGAGAAGAGAAAAAGGATTCTGAAGGTTTTAAGAGCTAGTTTATTTAAAAAAAAAAGGGGGGGGAGGGGAACATTTAAGTGTGAATAGTTGTGTGAAAGTTGTTAGAGGCAAAAACAATGCCAGATTGGGAAGCAAGTTCAAGAAAAGTCACTGGAGCTTAGATTCACTGCTGTGGGCTGTCATGGTGATGTCTTTAACACATATATATGGCAGCTCAGTTGAAAATACACACATTAGAATATAGTGTCAGTATAATCAATTCTAATGCTATGAAGATGATGTTAAATGTACCTTGCTGATGTCGTACATTGGTACTTGTTCTGTATTTTCTAAATTTGAGAATTTGACAACACTCCTGCATCGCAGTATATACTTTACATGATGTTTAGTAATGTTGAAGAGTTTGTCTCTAGATCAAAATGTTATTGCGAATAGAGTTTTGCACGCAAATCTGCGACTCTGCTTATTTCTGTGTTGTCAGATACTTCTTTCACACATGCGTGGATGTGTGGGTCATGCTTGGAGAGGCCCAAGCTAATACCTTGGTTCGGTGAGACAAGGTATGGTGATATTTAACTTATCCCTTCAGTTGCTTGGAGGCATAAACCCTTGTGTCTTTACAAAGAGAAGAATTCCTCTCCTACCACCAGGAGGACTGCTGTTGAGAAGGAAACAGGAAAAGGAATGGGATTTGTTAGGTCCCGTGTGGAGTTTCTGCGTCCTGTTGCTTCTTAGAGGCAATTGTTTTGTCGCTTACATTAAATCAGTTGGATACCTCAAGCTTAAACGCCTCAGTTGTCTCTACTAAGCTACATCAAATTATTGCTCTGCAGAATTGAGGCAGGCTTAAGTAATCTTGTTTTGCAGAATTTTAATTAACATACACTTTTGGGTAAGAGTTATATGCTATAACAATCAGCAGAAATGGATGAATGCTAATGAAGAATCCCAGAGTTGTTTCCAAAGCTATAGAAATTAACCAGAAATTTTACTGATTTGTTCTGAAACAGAACATGAGCTGAAATCAGGCTCCCAATTCAGAAATTTCTCCTCTCCCTTGATAGGAGCTGAAACTTATATGTCCATCCTGTGACATAGCAAAAGAACAATGTGAAGTTCCAAGAGGCTTCCTTCTTGAAGAGACTTTACTGCAAAAACAGTTGTGAGACTCAGGCTTCCTGTTCTGACCCCTCCCAAACGATTTACTGTGTTTCATCTTCTAGTTGCCTCAGCATCCTGTTTTGTGTCTTTGTAATGCTTACACCCAAAGTGTTGCCCAGGCATCTTTATTTTCAGCGTTTCCCTGCTTTGTAATGATTCATTCTGCAGTCCTGATGTTTTAATGCTTTCATACGTTGTTAGCATGGAGAGGAAAAAAGTCTTGCTTCTGGTTTACCCAATCTCTTTTTAAAATTCCCTTTAGTGCTTTCAATAAATCCCCTAAAACTGACCACCTTACTCTTAATTTGTATCATTACGTGTATCAATGCAATGGTAGCACCAGTACTTCTATTTGCTGTCAACAAGTTTATGATATTAATGATCAAGATGACAAATATTCAATTTTGAAAAAAAACAGGTTAATTTTTAATTGAAAAGTGACTTTTGTGGAGTTAAGCCTCTCCTGCTCTACCATGTGTTTTTTTCCTTCCTGCTGAGAATGAAATGGAAGTAGCAGGTGACTCTCTATTATACATTTTCTGTAAAGCTGTTGGATAACGACTGGAGCGCCCAAATAGATGGTGAAGATTGGATTTTGAAGGTGCTGCCTCTGATAGTTTCAGATCCTCTGGAAAAAAAATGCTTCATGCAAAGATGGAAATTTAGAAAATTGAAATTCTGTATGTGGCATTGTTTCTTATATTTGTTAGCTTTTGTTTTAACTCCCTCAGTGTTCATCAGCTGACAAGTCTGATGATGTTAACACCTGAAATCCCACAGCAGATAGAAGGAGGTTTCTTATGTTTTCTCCTTGATGAATGTATATTTGCACTTCTCTGGCCACCACAGAGCTCTGGTCACCATCACTCAGGGATTTCTGGATGCTGCTGTAATAAAAAAAATGCTTAAAGCTACTTCAGTGCAAACATTCTGTAGTTTATTATAATAAAAAAAAGGGGAGGGGGAGAGAAACAAAACTAGGGGATCGTGGAGAAAATACTGAATAAAGGCAGCTTTTGTTTACTAGGAAACGTGTGACCTGGTATTATTCCAGCAGCCTGAGTGGATCTTTCACTTATTAGAGAACTGCTAGCATTTGCAGGTCTGCATTAAAAACACTTTGCTGATATAGCTACAACGTGTACTGTCAACAGGCACCGAGTCCACCATGACGAACTTTTGCATTACTGGCAAAGCTGCACTGTATGTGCTCATGTGGTGCTACAGGGTCTGTGGAGCAAATGAGAGTGAAAATGCATTGTCCCTCCTCTCCTGCTACAGCTAACTTATGCTAGAAGCTTTTGCTAGTAGATATAGCATCTCTTCATACCCTGATGTATATGTCTTACCTACATATATATACACTATCCTATATACTAAACCAAAAGGGGGGAAAAAAGTGTAGTGGCACTCTGGCCTGTAATACCATGCTTACTGTTGCCTTGTTGCATGACTTTGATAATTAATTTGTACAAAGAACATGATGTAATTTTTTTCTCCTTTGAAAGGTGGTAAGTGATCATCAGACAGATAACGTTAGCAAACTCTTATGCTTGTCTTTATGCGGACAGAGATTTCCTGACATTACTGTAGAAGATTGGGGGGGGGGGGAGGGGGGAAATGTGAATTATCTTCCTTCTGGAAAAGTAAATAAAATTCAGAAAGCTTTGTATAAACACTGGGTGTTTGGTATGTCCTGGTGAGAATTTGTACCACTCTCCACCAGGTTACAGAGAGCTTGCTTCTCTCTGAAGTGCTGAAGAGCAGCTGTTGGGAGTCTGCCATCTGTTGCAGTACTCAGCTTTTCAAAGCTGCTGTAAGCTGTGGGCATAGAGCACAGCAGAAAGTCTGTCATGTGTTTTCAAACCTTTGAGAAAAGCGTTAGTCAGAGTTGAGGCAGTGACTCTGGGTGAGATGTAACGGCCTGACCTCTGGTGCCCTAGGTGCTTCCCCCTCGCCCTTGTAGCTGTGCACCGGAGGCTTCTGAATATACTCCTAAATTGGGATAGGGGGAGGGTCTTCAAACTGGTGCCTTACTATTGCAGTGCTCCCTGCAAATGGTCTGAGGTCTTTGGTGACCCATAAGACCAAATAAGAGGTAATTTGAATAGGTTTCCTGTTTGCCTGAAGAAACTTGTGTGTATTCTCTGCTTCCTTTCTGAAGGATATGTAAGGGGTCAGTGACACTCCTATGATTGATATGATATATATGAATATGTTGTGGATTCGATGGCATGACAGCTGTTCTTTTAAAGTGAAATAAAATAGAAGTAAATTATATTGCAGAAGAGAAATTCTGTTTTCTAACTCAAGCCAAATCTAGGCTATGCAAAATATCAGTTGCTTTCTACTTCGGTATGTAACTGTATTTTGGCCCACAGGTACCAACAAAAGCTTTGCAAGCCTTCACATATGTGTGCAGTGGAATATTTCAAGGAAGATGGTGTATAAATTTAAATGTGTTTTTTATTAACTGAAGCGTTACTTCGCTCTTCAACTTGCCACTCATATCTGCACTCAAAATTTTAGAATGAGGCATGTGTTTTACCCTGAACTAGTGAGAGGGTATGAACTCTATGCCCAGGCCACTGGTGATCTGACTTTAGCTGGTGGTGAAGCTACAGTGCCTCATCTCCACTGTTATAACACGCTTTATTACTATTATTTTTATTGTGGTCAAAGCACACCCTTTTCGTTAGCCTGTAGCAAAGAAATTCTGAGACTGTTTACTACTAGCCTGCGTGGGCTGAGGCTAGGCAATTAGTGCTGCATGTGTCATAGAAATGGGGCTGACACATGTTTCTTCCAAGTCTCTTTTTAGAGAAGGCAACTTCCTTTCCACATAGCACACCCCACCACCTTCCCCCTCCTTCCCAACACCCTTGTTTTCCCACTTAGAAAACAGCTACAGAGTTTCTTCTGATTCATGAAAATTCAATTATGCTTGCTTCAGACTGTCAGCAGGGTGTCTAGGGCTTTTTTGTCACTTGTTGTAAAAATCTTTCCTTCATTCTTCTCTGTTTACAGAAAAGGTTTGAGGTCTGTTATGGTAACTGCAGTGGGCTTCTACTTTTGCACTGGTTGCCATAGGTACTGTGTCTGCCTCCAGATGCTCTCTAGTGGAGTGAGACCTCCTAGCTATGTGTAAGAGGTTCTTGCCCTTCTTTAGTTATATATTTTGTTAACTCTTAGAGTCCCAGCTTTAGAGGATGAAATTAGAACCAGTAAACATCTAAACTGGATGGAAGGTGCCATTGTCATGGGGCTCAATTTACCTGAGCTTGTGCAAAAAGCAGGCTTACCTAGACGGTAGTACTAGCCTTAAGAGCTTATGAAGTAATACGTAAACATGTCCCGCTCAGAACTGAGGTTGAACTAAATGGTTAGTGATATATATATATATATATGTGTGTGTATATTTATATATATATATTTATTTATATAACCTTTTATTTTATCTTCTGTCAGCCTGTCAGAACTAACAACACAATGTTGTTACTGACTGTGTAGCAAAATACAATTCCAATGGCAACCATTTTCTTTTAGATTTGCAAAACAGAAGAGGGGGGGGAGAAAGGACCAGGAAGGAAATGCATAGGAAGCGAAGCTGAATGAGGCCTATCAGCCAGTACTGAGGAATCTCTGAATTTCCTTTTTAGGAACTGAGTAGCAACTGGAAAAAGATGAAGGATGTGACTTACTAACTTATAACCCTTTTCCTTGTTACAGGCTTCCTATAACTAGGTGTTTAAAAAGGACTTGTGAATTACAGCATTTCCTTTTTGGCTTTTGTTTAAGGTTCTTTTTAGGGACCCAGTTCAGTGAGTCAGGGTTTTGGAAAGCAGAGTTTAAAACAAAGTTTAAAACCAAAACGTTGAGCGCTATTCTAATGCCAAGCTGGAAAACCTAGGCTAGATTTCAAATTTTTCTCCAGTGTAGCAAAGAAATTCTGAAGATGTCTGAAGCTATGGCTCTTACTTCCATTAAAATCTATAATTATTTCTCTTAACATTTTTTTTCTCTGTACTTGGAGCTGGACTATGCTTTAACTGAAGCTTCTAACTTTCAGCAGTATCAGCTACACAGCTAATCTTTTTGTGTGTGCCTTTTCTCTTCATATTCCTTTATTTTCCACCTATTGAAAGGAAAAAAAGGAAGTAGGATTTTCTGGCTTACCATATCTGTCTCAGGTTTATTCCTTGCTTGACCTTCCAAGAGGTTGTCTGTTGGTGTCATTGTGATTAAGCTGAACTGTTTCTAATAAGCAAGCATTCCTACTTCTGACCTGGGTGGGAAAAGCCACAGACTTCCTAAAGGTTAATAGCCCTTTACAAAGTAAAATAAAATCAAGCCAATTTCTGGTTTCCCACGATTTGAAATGACTGCAGCTAGCACTGAAAGGGTTGCAGACACGTTGCCATGTATTTGAAGTACTGAAATGACTCATTAAAGTAGGCCATCACTGCTACAGAATGCATAGCATAAAACAAGCTTCTGTTAGCAGGCTGTGGCCAACACAATGGTTTCTATTTGCTGTGGAAGGAGGTACTCATACATGGCTGTGAAGAGATGACAAGGCCTCCCTTTCAGAAACACAGTGGTAAAATGCATTTGAGCTATTTGTCACTAGGAGCTCGAAATATTTTAAAAGCCCACGGTCTTCCCTTCCCGACTGCTCCACACACGCAAAACTAAGTTATCTCTGTTCAATCCCTTCAGCTGCTTCCACCATTTCTTGTTCTGTTGCCAAGCAGTTTTATGTAGGGCTTCCAAAATGTTTCCTGGCAAAACCAATTCTTGCCCTTGACTTGCTGCAGGTGCCTTAATGTTTTTATTCACTTCGGTTGCATAACTTGATATTTTGTGGATATCAAACTCTCCATGAACAATGGATACAATCCTTTTTATGGATGTCCATGCTTGTTCTTCATTGTGCTCGTAGAAAATGTCTGGCATGTGAGCTGTAATTGTTAGTGCCTACCATGGGAATATAGTGAATATAAAAGAATTATTTTCTAGTAGCTCTGATTTAAAGTTGGAGAGGACTGATCTGTTTGTAGTTTCAAAAGCACTGTTGCAAGCGTGTTTCCTATACAGCACATAGCTTGCATAAGGGTGGGTAGATTATGTAGCATTATTGTTTTCTAGATACTTAACTAAAAGTTTTAGTTGAATCTCAAGTCTTGGAGTCTTTTCTTAGCTCATTCTCCAGTGGCAACTCTTTGTACCTTCTTCCTAGGTGATTACTTTGGGGAACTTTCTGACTTTCAGTTAGAAGAAACTGAATGTTAAAAGTTTGTAGGCTAGTACTGAGCATAACTTTTTTGTATAGGGAAGGGAATTGGAGTCCTGAGTAACTTTTTCTGTGGTTTACATGTACCACAATGCAGAGATTCTGACATTGTCTATGGTGAGACAATTAACTCCAAGCAAGCAGTACTGTGTAATGAGCAAAAACAAAACATCTGCATTCAAATACTTGTTAGAATCGAAGGTAGCGGTCCCCATCAGAGAGCACAAGAGAATGAGGTACTGTCTGTGACTGAAGTGTGAAGGAATAGTTTGAAAACCTGATTCATACACTTCCTCTTTTCTTTCTTGAGAAAGCACTTGTCTAACTGAAAATCTTACTGAAGACTTGTATGAATAAATACTGAACATATGGTTTCTTTTACTAGTTTACTAATAAAGTTAGAATTACTGATTGTAATGCTTTCCAATTCTGAGTTAGTCATCAGTCATAAACATTGAGGCTCAATGTTTATGAGGCTCAATTTAAACTAATGCAGTCTGTTTTGCTTTCCCCTCTTTTTCTTACCATCAGAGGTGTCTCGCCACTTCTTGCAGCTTCATTGATCCATGCTGCAGTTGATGAAGTTCTCCAAATAGACTTTACTGAATTTAAGAAGCAAAGTGTGGAAACGGAGGAAGAAGGAGATGAAGAAAGGTTCACCTGTAAGTATTTTTTTTTCCTTTCGTGGTTTTCCGAGAGGCTGTCTGTTGGAAGACATCAGTGTTTTGAAATTTTTCCCAGAATATTTGGTTAGGATGTCTGGCAAGCAGTAGTGAACAGAATTTTATTTGCTCCTACTATGTACCTATGGGATGAAAAGTAGCTATGCTAGTTTTGTGGGCAAGATGCAAACATGCTGTCAAGAGCCCTGGACTGATTATATAGTTGGTTTTCTGGAAAGGGAAGAAAGTTTCTCTTCCCAAAAGTGATTAATGACTGAATATATCCACTTCTTGAACTTAACTACTTAGGAACTACTCTTCATTGGATGAATTCACTTAAATTAAACTGATTCAGCTCCTATCTTAAGTTGATAACCTTTTCTATTTTTTTTTTTGAAGTGCCTTCTCTTTGATGGACTGACCTTAGGTAATTACTCCCATACTATGGTGTTGGCTTCACCAGAACTGCTATTGTGCAGCCGCACGAAAACCTTAAATTCACCTACATAATTCACCCTGCTTTTAGCTGTTTTGGGGATCAGATTTTGGGACCTGTGGCTGATCCAGAACTTGAAACTCCAGGCCTTTCTTTTGACAGTCTTCTCAACAGCATCTGTCTGAGTCCTTCCCCCCTGCCCCACACAAATAAGAGGATGATGAGGGGTGAAGAACTTGAAGCATGTATTTTCTGCCTGATGTTCCTGCCATTTGTTCCTGTCTGCCTGAATCAGGGAGAAAACAGGCCTTAGTGACTGAGTACTGAGTGTGAGCTTTGTGTAACAGATGGTCCCATTGCATTTATGTGCAAAAGTATTTAACATTAGACTTCACCAAACCTTCACTCCCTATGGCAAAAATTTAAACAGAGCAAGAAGCAGCCAGAATTTGAATATAAAAATGAAAAAGAGAAATGTCTTAAACTAGTCTGCCCTTTAAGGGGAAATGCTCAGCCTTCTATTCTCCTAGGATGACTTCAAAAGCAGTTCTCCATGGCCCCGGGGGAAAGGGCTGTTCATCTCCCAGCAGAGCTCCTGTACTGGCCAGGATGCTTCACTTTCCAGAAGCCTATTTCAATATTTACCTATGCATCTGAAACAGGGCAAGGGAGGACGCGCTTAATTAAATCTTGCTGCACCCTGAATATTTATTCTCTTACATTAAGGCTACAAATATTAAGGTATCTGGAGAGATTTATCACACTTCCAGCCCTTTGTATGGAAAGAGTTGCCTTCATATGAACTTGGCGGGGGTCTAAATAACAAGCACTGGCTTTCCTCTTCCAGAGTGCATAAAAATGATTTTGTGGTAGACTTTAACAAAGAACATGAGAAGCGAAATGCAGGAAATAACAGCAGTGCTTTTAACGAGAGAGGGAGCCCTGGGCTGGGCACAGAGCAGGCTCAGCTCTGCGGCGCTCACGCCCCCGTGCGCTCCGCCCAGCGCGCAGGGCCCGCGGGGAGGCGATGGGCTTGCGCCCTCTGCCGCTGCTCTTGCCGAGATGATCCCATGTAATCATCTTTGACATGAAGTGCAGCAGTAATGCAAATCCATAGCAGTTTGTCCCTTGTGAGCCTAAGATTATCATTTCTGTTTCTAGGTCTTATGAAAGTCTTGGGCAGGTGGACCCTCAATTAGCAAAAGTCATCTGAAAGACTGAGAAATCTTAATGTTTAGAAGCAGTGAGTAATGAAAAACTCCTTAGGACAGGGACTGTGGATTTTTTTGTTGTTGTGTTTGTGAGTTTTTTGTCACAAATCTCTAATGTCTTCTGGAGCCCTATATAGTTGCGCTGTACTGGTGAAACTTGCACAACAATTTGTGCTTTTATTTTAGTGTAAAGGCCGTAAAGATGCAGGACTGGAAGGAACCTAGATGCTGATGGAGCCTGCTTTTAATATACTGTAGGCAAAGCTGCAACATCTTTACAGAGTTGCATCTTGAACTACTTCGGGTTCCCTTCTCTCTCACTACTCCTTGTTGACAATTGTTCCAGAACATCTCCTGTTTTGTTGATTGAAACTTTCTTTAATTTCAATCTTATATTCCTGTTCATTTTATATAAATTTTTTCTTGTGTGACCAGTGTCCTTTCTATCGAACAGCTATTTACCCTCCCCATATTGGACATTATGAAAAACTGCTTACTCTTCAGTTGCTTGCATTGCCTAGTCTCAGCAAAGACTATCTCCTTTAAACACATTAATTTCTCTGCACGTTTGAACTGTGTTCCTGCACCTATTATACTTGTTTTCCTTGTCTTATAATTGCTTATTGCCTAATTTTAACTATTCAAATAGAAAGCATGATGTGCCTTGTGCAACAGCACAGTATGGACTCTCTCTCCCTGCATTGCTATAATGCTTTTCTCCGGAGAGTTATTCTTGGAATGAAAGAGAAGTGATTATACAAGTGAGGTACGTATGTGTGCCTATATGAATACCACTGTTTGTGGTGTACTGCAGAAGAGTTTCTGATACGAAGGCACTAAACTCCATGTCAAATTTCACCAGCTTATTATTTAAACAGTGATGTGTGTCTGAGTCTTCCTGGTCAGTATTAGTTTACAAATTCGTAACTGTCTTGACCAATAGGTGCAGACAAGGCTGTCTGAGATCCTGTCCTATTTAATAATAACGTGATGACTTAATTTTATCTCACCTATTCACATCTGTAATATTAAGCAAACCAAAAAGTGATTTTTGGATTAGTAATTAGTGACTGCTTATCAAAGCTTTGTGTTTAAATTTAAGCTTTCTTCATTCTCTAGGCCCAAAGGTGTATCTGAAGCTGGCCACCCAGTGCTGTTGAGACAGACAGATGCTTGAGAACCTGCAGTTATAAAGGGAATTCTGGGGAAAAAAACTTAATGCTGGCAGTGTTAGCAGGAGTCAGGATAAAACAGAGGTAGTATGGAGAACAGAGTTGGTTCAAAGATGTATTGATAGAACAGAGAATAGCTCATGCCACGGCAGTTCTTTAGGAAATGCTTTAGTGGTTAGCAAATCTTTTTTGCTGTATAGATGATCTTTTCAATGCTTTCTGAAGTTAGATGATTTAGCTTTGGGGCAGGGTTCTTACTCAAAAAACAAAACTTTAAATTATCACCTTTTCTGAGAGACACTGCATTGCAAAGCTAGACACGATTCCAAACACCACCGTTTTCAGTCTGATGAACAATAAGTTTGGATTAATTGATCTTTGGAAGCTATCCAGAAAAGGATTTGGGTGTCTGGCTGGAGCTTTTCGCGCTCTACCCAATGATGTTTGCAGTTCTGCTCTGTAATGACAAAGCAGGAAAGTGGCAGAGGTGTTCTTCTGTCCGTCTAGCTTTTACAACCCTGTGTGTTAAAGAGATAGAGACAACAGCTTAAAATACTAATCTTCTGTTCAGTTCAGCTATGAGTTGAGCTGTCAACCTCAATAAAACATATTCTTATACTTCCTTGTTGCTTTAGTGGAAGTGGTTCAATAATACATAACCTAACCCTAAGCCAGGCTGATACTTTTTAACTCTTCTGTCCAAGACAACAGCAGCTCTCAGCCAGTGTGAAGGTATTTCTGCCTATACTTGATTATTTCTATATTTTTGAGGTGCACTCCCCCTACCATACCCTGTGCATTTTACTTGTATGATAAATTTTACATTTAATTTGCCAGACTGGTTTTTGGACTCTAATGTGATTGTATGCAATCTATTGCCATGAAGCTATCAGCCATTTGATAAGCCTCTATTTTGAAAGAGAATTAGAAAATAAAGTACAAGAAGCTCCTCTTATCCTTAAGTGGCAATAATGCACAACAATATAATATTTTTCTCTGCATTATTCTCAGCCTACCTTAATTCTTACAGAGCCTGCAGAGGCAGAATGTTGAGTGTGTGCGTGTATGTAACTTGAAGAAAAGACAGGACAAATTATGGGGTAAGGTAGAAAAATGATGCAAACTAGTTATTTGTCTTTCTGCTGTCAGTGCTGGATGGAGACTCTTTGCAGCGCTTCTTCTTTAACAAGCTTCGGGAAGTCTGCTTTGAATGGCAGAAGCAGTTGCCACCACTGAGACCACTGAAGCGTTTTCTGCTCGTTTCCATCCACGCCATCCGTAATACTCGACGGAAAATGGAGGACCGCCATGTTTTGCTCACAGAGTTCAATCAGCTGTTTGGCTTATCGGTAGGTCTGGATAGAACCAGGTTAGGTCAGTTTGTTAGCTTTTCAACATGCATATAAATACAGTGGTTGGGTGATGGAGAAACCAAAATGCTAAGAATTTGTTGCCAGATGTGTTTATTGTGTCTATGTTGAAGCAAGGACTTACTGACTTAATTTTTTAGGGGCTAACTGCTGCTCTGATAAAGAAGAATCTCGGGGCATTGGCCTTCCTGTCAGAAATGATGTAGGGAGACAGGAGGCTCACCTAGTGCTATGCTGTTGTAGTTTTAATGTTCTTGTGAACGAAGTAATGGATAGAAAAATTGGAAAACACCAGTTTAACCAGGATAGGTACCAATTAATGAAGATACTAGATAATCACTTCTATGCCACTTCAATTCCAGGTTATTTTCAAAGATATTAAATGGCCAACAGCAATCAAAGAAAAGTAATTCCCCTGCAAATTACCCATTCTGTTCCTTTTGCTCATGGGTTAAATTGCCCTAACCTAGGCAATGTCTTATGAAAGAAAGACCAGAACAGAGACATCTTTGCTACCAGTCTAGGAACTATTTTATTTTTGAATGCTTGCATGTCGTCTTCTCTCTCCCTCCCCACAAAAGGATGACACTGATCGAGCTTACTTTGCTGTGTTTGATGGCCATGGTGGAGTGGATGCTGCCAATTATTCAGCAACCCATTTACATGTAAATGTTGGGCTACACGAAGAGATTGTTAAGAATCCAGCTGAGGCCTTGAAATGTTCTTTTCAGAAGACAGATGAAATGTTTCTTTTCAAAGCCAAAAGAGAGGTGAGTGGGTAGAGATGAATTCCATTGCGTTTAAAGAGTAGCGGGAACTGTTGAGCAGAATGGTATTATCTAGAAAGTTTTGGCAGTAAGATTTTTTTTTGAATCTCTGATTTCTTTATGAAATTATCTTAAATGGAAAAGCTTTCATTGATCAAATTATTTCTTTTTTTTGAGGGGAAGGAAAAACAAAATGACAGTGCTTGCAAGTTCACGAGAGGAATGTTTGAAATGAAGAGTGAAGTGGTTTAAATGATCCTGACAATTCTGTTTGAGAGAAAACTCTGCCCTTTTGACTAAATGAGGCAGTCTAGATGTTCTGTTGTACTGTCTCTTAGGTGAAAAAGGGATTTCCCTTTCCCGAGTAATGCAGTCACTATCTTTTTTCTTGTCCCACTGTTACTGTCATGTAGGAAGTTCAAAAATTGTATTCATAATCATGTCATAATTTAAATTTAGATTTAAATTAAATCTAAAGCACAAAATGACTTAAATCAGACTCTTCAGCTCATCAAGTTTATAGATATGCTTTGGATCAAGTTGGTAAAAGTCAAATGAACTTCTTTTTTCAGATCTTCACGGTGGAAGGAAAACTTATTATGGGGAATCTAGGAGAATTAGATTCCTTCCTTTGCACTCATCCTCATTTATATGCCTAAAGATAAGGGGATGAATGTGGAGCAAGATGACTGTATTTGCTAATGGCAGAGGTGAGAGTGCAAAAGGATTGAGGAAACCTCTGTTCATGTTTGTACTGCTGAAATTCAGACCCTCTTCCCTTTCTGTTTGTCTTTCTATTGTTGGAGACAAAAAGAAAAAAGTGTTAGTCACCTTAGATCAGTTTTGGAATTATTAACAGCAGAAAAGTAGGAACATAATTGAGACAATATCACCTACCTGGATGCTGGAATATGGAAACAGTTTATTTTAAATCTGTCTAAGCACTTGTACATTTTCTCAGGTACCTGAATCATGGTTTGCTTAGGTTTGCTACATTGCATTTAGGTTTGATTAAACCTAAATTTATAATATTGCTATGTCCCCTAGAAGGGCTTTTTGAAAACTCACCTAACTTGCCTATTTTCTTCTGTAGAGGCTGCGGAGTGGTACAACAGGTGTATCTGCCTTGATTGTAGGGAACAAGCTACACATAGCCTGGCTTGGGGACTCGCAGGTAATGCTGGTGCGGCAGGGAAAAGCTGTGACCTTAATGGAACCTCACAAACCAGAAAGAGAAGTAAGTCTGACCTTTTTGTGCGGGGGTAGAAGGTGTATTTGTTAAAAGGCCTGAGAAGCCATTAGAAGTCTTACACTCCTCAACTGTTACACTACAGACAGGTGAGAGTGAAAGTTCTGTCAGAATCTCTCTTGAAAGTCTTTGGAATCAAGGCTTCTTAGGTGTTTTGCACCTTACATAATTCTGTCTGGTTTGGGATTCAGAGAATGACAACTTTTTTTTCCATCCACTCCTGTGTTTTGAAAAGGTGGTTTCCGCTCTTATGTCCCTGAAAATGCTGATAGTACTGGTAGTCCAGACTTCAGTTCCTGCTTGGACTATCATTTCAAAAATAGTAGTACTTTGCAGACTTTTATGGGATTTTATTTGTGAATTTTTAGGTGCCATTGTTATAAATGGGCTTCCTAATTTATGAGATTAGTATCTATTTAAAAAGCTAGCATAATTCAGGTCTTTCACATTATGCTATAATGTCATCTAAAAGCTAGTTTTAATCTATTAGCCTAACTGGCTTAAAGCACGTTGCATTTCCTACATATTTTTAAAGGCTAGGTATTTTATTACGTGGAATATGGTGGTTGCCTCCATGGCATGAATATTTTTAATAAATAAAGCAGTTAAAGGAGTATCGTTGCAAATGCCACATTTCAGTGTTATGGAGTCTACCTATCCTTCCTCTTACTCCAAATATATAAATATTTACCCAATTGCTATATGGGATGGGAGGAAGTGGCAGGAGAGGTGCTCATGCATACGGAGAAGAACTTGGTGATAGAGGAAGTTAAGAATTCTGCTTTTTTGTGGACAAGCCATGATACAGTTGCAAAGTAGGTGGGTTGCTCCCAATAGTCTTAGTAAGCATCCATTTCTGAACCGGATTCTGATATGCTTTTGTAGTTGTGCTACTTGTACTGTAAATACAAAAGCTAAATTTGCACATGGTTTTGGATTTTGTCTTTTTTTCTCTTCAAATGGGTAATAGCAAGGTCAGTAAGTCATGAGTAGGCTTTTGACATTAAAAACTCTATCCTAATGTCTTTTAGGATGAGAAAGCACGTATTGAGGCTCTAGGTGGCTGTGTAACTTACATGGACTGCTGGCGGGTTAATGGTACCTTGGCTGTTTCCAGAGCAATTGGTAAGCTAAGCCATCTGAAATAGTACAGTTCAGATTTAATTTGATTAAAACACACCTGAGACAGTATATTTACTGTAAATGACAATTTACTCAGCATGGACCGAGTAGCAAACCACTCTTACGGCCTTTGCCCTAAGGCTAGCTGACAGCTATATTATTTTTACATAGGTTACATAATCTTACTGCCTTTGCTATAAGCATAGAATATTGTTTTGTTTTTACATTCTAGCCATGACAGTCCTAATTGTTTTGTTCTTCTAAGTCTGTTGCTTCTCATAAATGAGAAGTCAGATTGCAACATCCTCCTTCAAATTATACACATCCAGCGACATACGGCATGGTAGTTGTAGTATTTCAAAATACTCTTATGGAAAGAACTTTCTTGGCTACTCACCAATTAGGGCAAAAGAAGACGACCCTAAGCAAGAACTAATGTGTGAACAGAAATAGGTTTGTATAAATCCATTGAATGCTACTTTGGATCGATAGTAACCTGTGTTTGAAGAGTCCTTATGAAACTGAACTAAGCATGTGGGCAAATTCTTACAGTATTATGCTGTGTCAGGATAGCTTAATACTAAGGAAAATCTTCTTTCCATAGCATTTTGAAGGCTGTCTAAGAGCCACGCTTGCAAATGAAGGCCCGAATATCTCCTTCACAAATATATTTCAGGGAGAAAAAACCTGGAAAGAATTTTCTTAGTTTCCCTGCAAAGTTAGGAAAGCATGAGCTCCTTACAAATGGATTTAAGTAGCTCACAAGAGTTCTCAAAGAAGCAAAGGCCTTCCAAGCTTAACCTGTAGCTTTTAACTACTTCTGTCCTGCATCAGGTATCTCCAGAATATGATCTGGCTGTTCTGGAGGACAGTAAAAGCCATTGGCTGTTGAGGAAGTAACTTCCTACATTTGAAGTAATAAAGCCTTTGTTCTGATTGTTTTAGGTGACATATATCAGAAACCCTACATCTCTGGTGATGCAGATGGAGATTCATTTGAGCTGACTGGTTCTGAAGATTACTTGCTCCTAGCCTGCGATGGATTCTTTGATGCTATCAAACCATATGAGGTTGTAGACTTGGTCCTAGATCATTTAATGCAAGCCAAAGGAGTGGGTGTCAAGGCAGCAGAAAGACTAGTGGCTGCTGCAAAGGAAAATGGATCCAGTGATAACATCACTGTTCTAGTGGTGTTCTTGAGGGACCCTCAGGACATCTTGGCAGACTGTCTCAGAGACCCAAAGAGCCTTGGGGCTGGTGATGATGCTTGGAGCTCAGCCTTTAACTTCCTCAGCTGTGAGGCAGCAGCCACACAGTAACAGAATCTGCTTAACCCAGAACATTGAAATAAGTTAACTTAAGGAATTGCTTTCCACTGAAGAAGCCTCTAATATAATAGGCAAAAGAGAAAATAACAAATGGACAAACATTTAGCAAAAAACAAGCCTCCTTTTACTGAGTTCCCACTTGTCTTTTCTTCCCCTTCCCCTCCCTTCAAAAACTGGTGAGTGGGCTTGGAGATTTGTGCAGCTATTTCTTTTCTGGGAACAGGTTCTAAAGTGTGTCCCAGGGCTGCTGGTCATATCTCTCTGCCCTGGAAGTGGTAAGAAACCATAATAATGTATAAGCTAATGGATGAGAATGTTTGTGTTTGAATTCTGAGTGAAACTTTAAATTAGTGGTTAAAAAGAATGCTGTATGTTATATTTAATTTTGATGTTACTCTGGAGTTTGGGAGGAGAGAAGCTGTATCATCAGAGAAGCTTGTTACTGTGTATGGCCTGTAGGAACAGGCTTGGTGTGCCAGGGAACTGGGTGACCAGAAGTAGCAGCCCAGGTGTTGTGTAAGTTATTTTGTTTTGTACCAAAGATGATATTAAGAGAATGTTGTGACCTCTTTCTTCAAATGGAGAGGTTAATTTCTGTGTGTATGGGAAGGGGAAGATGGAGCTGAATGCTCCAGAGAAGGAGCAAGAAAGCTATCCAGAGATGTCCTTGGCAAAAATAATACAAAATCAGCTGCTCTCTGGGATGCTCTAGCTTATAAACTGGAATCCAATATTTAACTGCACTGGATTATTTTTCCCTAACATTTTCTTGGCTATCTGACAACCTGAAAAGAAAGGACACTTATTGATATGTTTGAAAGAGGTCCTTTACAGGTTGTACATGCTCTACCAGTAACGTGTTTTGTTTCTGCCATATTTTTGTGTGTACTATAACAAGTGAATGTTTTATTTTTATTTTAAGGATTTATTTGTTTACTGAACTTTACGTTGGAGGATTTTTTTGCAGTGTTACTTTACTTTTGTTCTGGTTTTTATTTAAATTAGAATTTTAAAGTGGCTATGTCTTTATTATCTTTATGATTTTAAAAAGTGACTACCCTCAAGTGCCTTAAATATTTCACCCAAGAATAGAGATTGCTGGCTTCCTATCATATTCTGGTGAGCCACTTTATAATGTTTTTAAAGTGTGATTTTTTTTATTTCATTAATATTAATGTTTAATGCACTTAATTGTTTCATTTTTGTGAATGATTTAGTGGGAACTGGGTTTCAAGAAAACATCTCATTCAGTGTTGCCAAATCTTGAGGCTCATAGTAAAAGCTTCGTGATACTTACTGTGATTTTTTTCTCCTCTGCCCCATGCAAAAATCTCTGGTTAGTTAGTCATAAAGTAACTAGCTGATTCATCAAGACTTTCATTTAAAAGCCAATAATCTTCTGACCTTCACCAGAAAATTTAGTAACACAAACTTATAACTGTCTAATAACAGAATTTTGATCTTAATAGATTAAGCATCTATTAAAATAACAAATTTTAATAGATGCCTAATGTTGGCCATACTTCAACTTTTTGGGCCCAAATAACTTTAAGGAGATGTGAAGCTACGGTAAGGAGGAAAGAATCTTAATGAGCGTGTATGTTGTTGTGCAAGTGTTACATCCATTACGTGTGAGAGCCACTGGTTGTGTTTTATCCTGCCTTGCAAAGGTATCAGCAATTTCTATATCTAAACAAGAAGTGCTTTACATATGATAGTAAGATTATATGCCTAATTCAGAAGCATGGCATTGAAGTATGTCAGTCCTGTTGATTAAAATGTGTTGAAAAATAGTGTTTAGGGGGAAATTTAGGTAGAAGAGTTGAGATGACTAAACAAAGGCAGAACGGAACAGTGTTCATGTCCATGCTGTCTCTGAAGCATCAGCTAGTGTAGGATAATGCAGTTAATCTGAGTGACTTGAGCCTTTTGCCCAATTACTATGGATAATTGTGCAGTTTAACATAGTAACTCTTCAGTGAGCTACCATGTCATTATATAGCAACTCAGACAGTGACTTTGTTTTACTGTGGAAATACAGTAGCTTTTTCCATTGGGAATGTTGTAACCACTTTTCCCCTGTGTATTTTGCTGCCCTAAAATATGTGGGGAAAGCTTTCTGTGACAGCAACCTAGTAGGGTAGGTGTAATTTTTGTGCTGAACCTACTTCAGTTCAGGAAGCCTTCAGACTGGCATAGCAATCCCTTTGGACCTACTGTCTCCCATCTCTGTGGTTTCTAATTCAGATATTCAGTGTTACACTGAATCCTGAGGACCACTAGTGCCTCTTGGTGTCTTGGAAATAGAGTTCTCATTATTAATATAGTAAGAGTCACACAGAACTGTCCGATTTCACTGCTCTCTGAGGTTTATTGTTATCAGGGGGTGGGAGAAGCTACCGTATTCATGAAGGGAGCTGTGAAATGTTGATAAGCGCATAGTATGGTTTAGTTTCTGAAACTTTACCATTTTTCTGAAACGTGGATAGAACTGAACAGGCCAAGCTCTTTGTAATGATCCTTCTATTTCAGCCGTTTGGGGCAGATTTAGAATACAGAGGAGAAAATACAGGTCTTACCATGTGTACTTACAGCCATGTGAGACTATCCCATCAAATCTGAAATGAATAAGATTTGGGGGAATGGGAAGGAACTACGTGTGAAATGCACATTTAGAAAGCTGTCTGTGGTAATCAAACTTAAAGCATAGTTCAAGAATTATTTAGGTAGGGAAGACATTCTGCATTCTGAGAAGCTGTTCCTTTATATGGATGTTTTCATTCTGAATGACTTGGTGAATTGTTCCTTTGAGATCTAAAGGGATAGGAATAGTTCTTGGGAACTGATAGAGATTTTGGGGGAGGGGGAAAATAGAAAATGTTTCTCTAATTTTCAGAGGCTTCTTACTAGCTTTAAAAATTGCAGTTGGGTCTGTAGGAGATTTAACGTGGTCAAAAAATGGTAATTGGTATACTAAAGTCATAATGTATCATCTAGGCTAAAGTCATAATGTATCATCTGGAGTACAACTTGATTTCACATACTCGGGGGCAGGGGGGGGAAGAATTGGCTTGGGACATGTCTGACCTATTCTTGACAGCCTGATGAAAACCTATAGATTTTTTCTTTAATGAAAAAAAAATTCAACTTGATGTAAATCAGTAATGTAAGTATAACAAAGGATGCAGCTATGGATTTTGGAAGAGTGTTTTTAAAATTCTATTGAAAATGATCATAAAAGTGGACTTTTCCTTGGGATGGCATAACAACCTCCAACTTTGTTTCACTAGTGACTTTGATACTACTTTTAGAAGTCAATAGCTATAATACGTAATGCTGTTACAACAGTTGTCACTGCGTGGGTGGTGGCAGTAGAGAGGTAGGAGCTCTAGCAGAAGATTATGAAGTTGAACTAAATAGTCCGAAAGCTGGAATGGTACTATGTTTTGGATTTACAGTACTAATCTGCTGCACTAGTTTTCCTTGTCTTTTGTCTTCAAACTCCTTGGGTTTCAAATGTGTTTTCTGTTCTGCTGTCTTTTCTCTCCCTTGGTTTCAGCACTTTTACAAATAGTATGCAGTTTTGGTGAGGGAATGGTACCACATCTCTGGGCCTTCCTGGTGTCGCCTAAAACATTAATGCTTTTCAGCCAATGTAAGGTATTGACTAATTTGTCTGTCTCCTCATTGTCTTTCTGATGGGTATGTTACTTTGAGCTTGCAACAAAAACAATTCTTGAATCTAGCCAAAAATCTTTGAAACCATAAAAGCTATTTGAAGGGTTCAAGACAAATATTCAATGAAAAGTTAAAGTAATTTCAGATTTTTGCTAAACCCCAAATGGATGTCCTTGGCTGCATTTTGGCATCTAGCTTCAGGAAAAATTGCTCCTTAAAGGAGCCTGCATTTGAAACGCCACACTGAAATTCCTACCTTGTGCTTGATTGAAAACTTGGCTTTTGTCATACTGCTTAGTAGGTATACAACATTGCCTTTTCGATATGGGTAGTTCATTCTTCTACCTTTTCTCTCCCTAGCTCTCACTCTCCTACAAAGAAATATATCTAAAACAGCCAAGTCCTTTGGGTCTAACATATAAAAGATTAAAATTTTACAAATTACATGTGGCTTTTTTCCTCAGAACACCTTATAGAGGATAGAAAGGCAGGAAAACTTCTAGAAAGAGGGAAATTAAGTAAAAGCCATCCTCTAAGTGATGGAGGAGTGAGAGAGAGACAGGAATGCATTTAAGTATTATTAATGCCTATTCTAAAAAGGAAGTGGGCTGGAAGATAGAGCTACAAATGTCAGTTCCTTAGAGTGAAGTACCAATGCTTGAAAGAATTAGAAACACCCATTAGAAAGGCAAAAACTCGGATGTGGAACTCTGTCTTCAAGCAGCTAGGGGTGGAATCAAAGTACCAGCAGCCGAGGTGACTTTCTCTGACTCCTCAGTCTTGAATGTTAGTGCTACTAGATGGATTTTTTCTAAACATGCTATGTATAAGGTCTCACTAAGAGGAAATATTCAGTATATGCAGTTATTGGTCACTGTGCAACTGTTGCCATGAGTAAATGGTGTGAAGTGTGTTAATGAATTGATACTGCTAGTGAGCTCTCATAAGATGAGTAATTGGGCCCGGAGTGGTTACAGCGGAGTTGGCAGTTGAATAGTGTTAATCACAGTGATGACTTTAATAGCATTTAATAGACACTTATCTGAATTCAAAGTCAGCTGAGATATTGCTCTTTTTAAAAGCATTTCCAGTGCTATTAACTTTCTGTCATGTAGAGCTACTAAAATTTCCAGGGTGTGTGGTGTTTTGGGTTGGGGGGGATTGACTGTTTGCAAAAGCACTTGTTCTTGCTTTCTGAATTCTGGATTGGATATAATTTAGTTGTCTGCATTGGAAAACCCATTTTCAGCTGATAGTTTAAGGGAAAGCAGCTGTTTGGGGTTAAAACATTGCTACCAGAAACCCTTTAAAAACAAACAAAAAGGTGTTTCCAAAATAAGTGCCTGAGAAAACAGGTATCTCCTAAATGATGTGGCCCAGAAGGTACTAGCTTTTAAGGAACCAGCGAATAGCAGCAATATCTAAAGGGGTTATTCAGTTGGTTGAGCTTCTTAAACTTGAAATTAAGGCTGCAACTCTACTCTGTGTATAGGTGAGGGTTTTTTTTAGTTAGGTTACTCTGATTCTTGTGGATGCAGGTACTTAAGCATAGCACCAGACGTGGTGTATTTTTGTTCTTACAGTACTGAAGTATTGAGCAAGGGCAGGGAGAATGTTAGCCACAACACGGCATATTGCAGATGATTCACGTGTAATTTAGCTCCAGTTAAGACTGAATTAAATTTCCCTTCCTAGTTCAGTTCTGTTACTGCATAGCTATCCCTTTCAGAATTGGGCCTGTGCTGTCAAGCAAAATCCTACTAGGAAGTACTGGTCCCAGTTCCCTTTTTCAGGAGCAAACGACTCTTGATGGACATAGCCCCTTTCAGGAAGGGTGGGAAAGGGAGAAAAAGGAGCTTTCAAATGACTGCAAAACTTCCTAATCTAGGTGAAGTTATGTATTCTCCCTAAACATTTTTATAGCACATCTGTTTCCATTTGAGTAATTATGCTAAAGATGATTGATTTTCTGCCAAACTAGCCATAACCTTTAAAACTGACAACACAGAAAACATGAGCGTAGTCCTCCCTGCTTTCCTAAATCTAGCCACTAAAACAGCCAGCCCTGCTGAGTTTTTTGTTTTGTAGTGTAGATAGCTCTAAGGACTAAGCCAGCCTCTTCCTGCATATGTTTTGGTTATGTTTAATATATTCCTTGGATTCTACTGTAGATAAAGCTATTTCTATTGATTTCAGTCATGTCAGCTGAAGTGCTCAACTGGAGACATGAGGGAGTAATCTGAACATGTATCTGTCAAGAGATGCTTCTTAAAATACTGCCTTAAATTAGCTGATAGGCTTTTGAGATTGTAACCTTATCTCACTGAATAGAATGGGAAACCAACATCTTAGAGAATCATTTAAACCTTTACTTTGCTGTGACCCACCAGAACCTGAAAGCACTCAAGGCCTCCCCAAGCTGTTTCACGTTGCCAGTTTAATGTGTGGGTTTTCCAAGCTGTGCATGCTGCTGCTGGTGCACACAAAAATAAACAAAAGACAGCTGTGTTGGCAGCCTAGGAAATTCAGCAAGATGCAGCTTTTCTCAAACTGAAGAGGGTAAAATCAATAGGGAAATAAATGTTTTCAAAGTTCTTGGAATGCAAACAATGGAATAAAAAATGCAGCCTCAAAGAGTTGGCAGTGCACTGTCAACTTAAAACCACTGTTTCAAGCAACTGAATTTGTCTGCTTTGTAATGTCTGCTTTATTTTGTTAACAAACTCCTTTTAGCCAGGGTTTCATGTCTTTTTGCTAATATGTCCATTTTAGTCTGGAGAAGATATATTTAACTTTCTGAGGAGCTGAATGTATCTGGGTTTTGTGACTATTCTAGTTAGATTATGATTATTGAGTTTTCTCTCATCTATTAAGCCTGATTACTAATTGCCAGGGCATGTTAATATAGCAAGTACTGACCTTATTAATGATTAAACAACTCTGGATTACCATGCACAAGAACATCAGTCTTTCCTGTTCTAG